GTATCCAATGCGTCTTTGATCGATACTCAGTGATGCCGCGCGCTACCATCGCCGAGAAAGAGTGTCAATTATTTTTGCGAGTCTTTTTAACGAGCGTCGCTTTTGTAGGTCGAAGCTTTTTCAACGACGACTTTACGACCGATGCTCGATATCTGCCGGATGGCAGCCAGGAATAATAAACCGAAGGTTTATCGTTCGCGATGCGTACGCGATCATCATGCGGTTCCGAGACGCTTAATGAGAAAGCGCGCCGAAGTAAACATGTTTAATTACTTACATTGCAACAAAATATAAGACTTTTGCAATGTCAATAGCCGGCAGTGATCTTCAAAAAATAAAAAAGAAAACATTTTGAAGTAATGCGAGAAGCGTTTGTTTTCTTCTCTTGCCGCGCGCTACGTCGACGTCGTTCGAACGATTCGAAATCTGTTTTGGATCGGATGTGGCGCGGTCGTTATTAAAATTAACCAGCATGTAATCAGCTCGTAATCGCGTTACCTTAAACGGACGGGTAAGCGCGAAATTTGCAGTTTATGGGACATTACACTTAGCGTGTTATCGACGTAGCAAGGTGCGAAAACCATATTTGGCGACTCTTCGATAAATCTGTGTGCGCCAGAAAACAGAAACAAAATATTACCGATATTATTATCCGCCGCTTTCTTCTCATTTATTGCGCGCGCAGATTCAGTTCGACGTCGTGCAACGACGGGCTGTCTTCGAACGTCTCTTTTAATTGGTTTGCCATAAAAGCGGTCTGTCCGCGCGCGCGTCCGAACCTGACGCGGCGGAACTCAGCAGATCGCCGACGACAAGAATCATTTTATTATTAAATTCTCCGAAACGGAAGAGACATTAACTTTTCGATAAAAAAACGTAATTTACGAGGAACTGCTACTTTTGTCACTTTGTCATTTTCGGAATTAGTATTCTCGCCGAATTATTGTCGCGCGGTTGGTACCAATTACCAATCCATTAATCATCCGTCCTCACGAGAAACACATTCGGCGGCAATGTTTTTCGTTCGTTTCGAGCGAGCCGCCGCGCTTCGTCGGATTTAATTTGGTCGACGCGATCCCCCGAGCACTGCGACTGTGTGTGATCGCGCGCGATTACCGGCCGCGGCGGCACCTGCTTAACACCGCCCGCGGCAAAAAGCGTTTACCATGCCCGACCCGGCGGTGATTACGAATGCGATTCGCGTGCGACGCGGCGTCGTTCTCGCGCGTCCCGGCCTCATTGAAATCCGCGACCGACCGAAAAGACGTGCTAATGAACAAGACGCGTGGTTGATTATAGAGCGGCGCGCGGCCAACAAGCGCTCGGAAAGAAGAAGAACATGCCGCTAAGTGGCAAAGAAGCGACCACCTAGCGAGCGTGCGAAGCGGGATAAATCCTTTCCTTTGGAAGGTGAGAGCCGAGCCGATGATGAGAGAGAAAAGGAGAGAAAGAGAGAGAGAGAGAGAGAGAGGGGGGGCGGGTCGCCAGATGTCTCCTGACGATGTCGTCGATATACACGACGACTCGCCGCCAAGGAAAGTGTCATAATCTCGGGCTTTGCTCGTGCCAGCTGGCTAATTTCCTATGCGTCGCGCCGCTCAAAGCGCACGGCGCAAATGATGCTCGGTGGAACGTGTAATGCGAATAGCCGCGGCAACGATAAACCCGAGGAAGACTTATGCTGAGCCGTTTCGGAGGTATTTGCAGGCCTCGACGCGCTTCAATAGGATACATTTTTTCCGTAACGCGATCCGCTGGACAGGTACGTAAATTCCTGAAGGTATAAGAAAAAAACACACTTCGTCACAAAAATTCGCACGAATGTTCCGCGCAAGTTTGTTGTGTCCTGATAAACAACGTCCGACATGTTCGAGACTTAAGATACAACAACAGCGATGTTGCAAGGTTCGTTTCAAAACGCTTGCACGTAAGAAAATTCGAACGCGTATATATGATTAATTATTAATTTAAAAGCTCGCGAATACGTTATTACTCTCGCGAAGAGTATGAAATATACACCGCATAATTTACGTCAATGTATTCAGAAACAGGAAGTCTCTATGACCTATGACTAATCACTTATACATGATGTACAAGCAACTTGACGGTTCTATTAGCGCGGTTACTCGCGTTGCCACTGCGTTACCTCGCTACGTGAATTAGTGTATGTAACGTCGTCGTGTGTGTGTGTGTGTGCATCGATTTTCGCGTCGTGTGTCTACACGCGACCAATACACGACGAAGTGCAAAGCGATTTCCGTGAAATCGAATCACAGTGTGTTACAAATTTGCTCGCGAGCAAAAAAAAATAGCCGATCATATTTTTTTCTCTTTCAGACTGAAAAATTACTTTCAAAAAAATTACTCCTTTTATACCTTCTTTACAGTAGAGAGCGTGGTCCCTTTGTGTTTTTCTCGTACAGTGAACAAAGGTTGAGTTGAGGAACAAACCCCCCGAAGCTAACCAACAAACGATTTCACATTTTCTGGAACTAGACCGCGCGGACGGAACTTTTACAAAGTAACAACTGCGGGGCAAAAGAAGTTTCCAGGAAACGCAAACCGTCTGCGGAAAACTGGCCGACCTACCGGTCAATTGTCCCCTCCGGTGTGTATAATTGAAAGGCACGGCAAATCCTTTTCCCCGAGTTCTCTTATAATCTATTCGTGCGCGGTGCGATCGGGCCACGACAGAGTTTCATTCACAAACGGTCACGGCGGTCACAATGGCGTGCGTTCTACCGGGCCCTATCCACGGTTATCTAGGTCTCTAAATCCTCGAGTGAAATACTGGTAGGTTTCATTGAGCCTCGAGCCATCGAGCAATTTCGCAGCGGCATTGACTGCGCCTAAGGCGACACTTGGCAAGTTGAATTGGCAGGAAGCCCGACGCCGCTTAACTCTTCTTTCAACAAGATTATCGCTCGGTTACTCGGGTCGTACTCGCCCATCGAGCCCCCGACTTCATTCGTATTGTTGCGGGTGCCGACTGCGACACGACGATTCATAAACTTCCCCTCCCCCTGTAGGGGAGACGACTGTCCCGAGAACCGATTCCGAGAACGGAAAGCTTCCAAGTGTCTGAAGTAGGTGATCGATAGCAGTTGCATATATGAGAACATTCCAAGCTCTTGCTCTGTACTACTTTTTCAGATATCGCGCAATTATTGCTATCGATCGCAATTAGACACGCTTCTCTTCGTTCGTTCCTCTACTCTGTTAGAAGAGCCAATTAACGACGAGTATCGATATCGCGGAATGAATCGAGTGTCCCGCTAACTTTAGTTATCTCCTCCGATCTCTTTCGAGAAGACGATCTCATTCTAACAACTCGCGCGGTCGTTTTCGCGATCTCTTATCGTTCACGTGGTTTCCATTATTCGTCGTTAGCATATCGTTGAGAGTTTCTAATGACGAGGCGTCTGTGTGTGTGTGCAAAAGGTTGCACGTGAGATGGTTCTAATGGAGGTGGGGGCCAAGTCGAATCTAGTCGGCGGTCCACTTACCACGTTCTCCCTCGCACTTAGTACATTTAGCACCGCGGTCAACTGACCGCGTAATCATCGAGGTACGAGCTCGAATAATGCCCGGGAACGCGCCGGTCTAAGTGAGTTAGTGCTGCGTGCACTTTTATTTTTTCTCTCGCTTGCTTTTCGTCAAGCGCAGGCGCGCTCTAATGGTTCGCCATTTACGGACGTCGAGAGAGAACAATGACCCCCCCCCCCGTTCCGCCCCCCTCCGTGTATCGATTTTCGCGCTCGGTTTCCGACGGTCTTCTCACTTGTACGCTTTCCCGACGTGCAGATGCGATTTGACATTTAAAATTCAAATGCGCCGCGTTAGGCAAATATTCATCCGGGGTCTCGTTGGCAAAAATTTATTACAACACGATGGTTGCGCGTTATCGCGCGAAATGTCTCGAGCTCGAGGGAGTAATTTATGTGTCGCGAAACTGGAGTAGCGGGGAATATTCGCGACGAATATTCTAAGACCTGTCATTAGTCAGCGCCGATAACCACCTCGCGCGAAGAAGACACCGCGACGAAGAAGCGTGCTCGCACCTCGACGCGCAAATCCTGCTTCTAATTGCGCGACGAGTCGAATTTGAATATAATCTCCTTCGACTTTGACAGCGCGCTACGTCTTTGTATGCGTTATCGTACACACGTAGGACAACGCGCGAGTATCGCGTTCGGATGAGCGATTTGCTTATCATGACGAATGTGCCGGGCTGTCGCGATTAATCGATTTAACGCGATTCCGAGAAGCCTCGCGGCTTATGGATATGTTAACGAGCGCGGCGCGCGTTGTACCGATAGCATCGAACACGGTTTCGCGAGCATTCACGAATTATAATTGGCCTGTAATTAATGACACCGTCGTTATTGACAGGTGGCGAAACTCACTGTGCGCTACGCGAGTCGCTCGGATCGTCTCGGCGACCGCGCCCCTTGATCCCGTTTCGGGCTCCATTTATTTTTGAGGCTTAATTGCCTCAACGTGTTGCGGCATAATCACCGTCACGGTACAACACGATCGTGAGATATCGCGCGGCAATTGCGAATATGTTTACGATCGTGCCCGCACCTTCGGATCTCCCTTGGCGCGAGATAATTTTGCGAAGAACCGGTGCGCGCGAAATAAATAATTCGGAGAGAATTTTTTTGAAAGCGATATCTCACGCGCGCTCGGTGGCGTAATGTCTCATTATATCGAAGAATTGCGAGAATCGGGACTGGTGTTCGCGCCATTCTGCACAGGCGTTTGCGTAACACGGTCTCGATCTGATTTTTTTCATCAACTTTGCCTTCTCTGCGGATACATCGTCGTGTGTATTTTTGACGCGACAATTCTTTCGACACAATTATTGTACGAACGATTTAATAAAATTGTATATAAAATTGTATATCGTGGGATATATATTTAAATTTTATCGATAAGTTTTGGAAATACGTAGGATTTTTGCGGATATAAAATGTGGACGTACAAAGAGACAACAATTGCATGGAAAAGATTTATTTTTTTTTTTTTTTCAAAAAAGCGCGATACACGTTACAGTGCGCATCGACGAGGGACAACGATTATAACTATTGTATATGGTAGTGTATACTCGCCTAAAATCGATTGATATCGGTAAATAACTTAGTAAATTCCGTTAATATCACAACACATTATTTTCCTCACTTGATCTCGTACGCGCCGAGATTTCCCTTGCGCCTTCTCGAGGGAAACCAGTCGGACGTGCGGTTCGCCTGATCGATAGATCGCTTCACATTTGCCCGATACTCGTCCTCGTATGCGTTGAGATACAAGTTCTTGAGGATTATTTGATTATCGAGCTCGGAAGGCGGCAGGAATCGTTTCGAGCGGCTTTGCTGTTGCGCTTGCAGCTCGTCGAAAGTGAACTGCTTTGATTTGACGTCGTCGACAGGCCTCGACTTCTTTGAATTCTTATCATCGCTTGTCACGGACAGAAGCTTCCTCGTCGGACGCGAAGCGCCCGCGTCCTCCGAGGCGTTTCGTATCCGCTTGCTGCGATGCTTGGGCGCTCCCTCTTTCGCCGGGATCTCGTTGTCCAGCACGGAAACATCGTTACTCGGGATTGTCGATGATTGATTATCGCGCGGCTCGACCGTTTTCGTCGGCGCCGATGTTGTCGTGCTGGACGCGACGGTGACATCCTCGTCCGTCGAGTTCAATCTATTCTCTATGATATGTTTGAAAAACGCGTACATTTCGCCGACCGTGAAAGTCGTGCCGTTTCTCACGGTGAACTTGTCGATGTTCATCTTCTTGATCAATTCCTCGGTCGCGTTGCGCGCCTCCAACATCGACAGCTTCTCGGTCACGTAACTGTTGACGAACTCGTAAAAGCCCTTGTAATAATTTTTTCTGTGCTTCTTCTTGTCCTTGCGCTTCTCCGCGTACGATATGCCCTTCCGTTTCGCGTCCTTCCGATTCTGCTTCTCATTCCAGCGTATAGACTTGTTGTAGAACCTCATGATCCGCTCGAACTCTCGCTTCAGCTTGATAAACTCTCTTTGATTGCGTATCTCGAAGTCCGAGCGGGATCTGTTGCCGTTCCGTCGCGACTCGGCGAGGTCCACGTGGAAGAAGTTCTTGGTCATCGCGTTCAGCAGATCGTGCATGGTGCTGTTGCTGGAGTTATTCGGCTGCTTGGCGTCCATGCGCTGCAGTTTTCGATACACCATCTTGAGAAAGTCGATCATTCTCTCCTCTCGCAGACGGGACTTATTGCCGTGACCCGCGTGCGTCTTCCAAACGGACGAATCGGACGCGTTGTTCGTGTTGTTTTGATGGCTGGCGGCTAACTTCGCGTCCGCTTTATGTTTCGGATGCTCACGATTTTTGGTCATCTCTATGTGCAAAAGCTTCTTGCCCACTTTGCGGAAGAACTCGATGAATTTTCTGAAACATTAATTCAACTTTTGTTAAAAAATAAAATAATATTATAATATTATAAACAAATGATTTTTTTTACACAAGTCTGTGTATTTTTTTAAATTATACTTTAGTATATTTGATTATTACTTCGTAAGTGCTTACTTGTAATTCAGAGAAATATTGTCGTCAGCCGATCTACGTCGCCTGCTCCATCTGAGTCTGGGATGCTGTCCGCGGATGCACTTAGGCAATTCCTTCGGTCTCCACGAGCCGCTTATACAGGTCGCGCCGGTCGGTCCGTCATCGAGAACGTAACCCTTGTCGCAATCGTACATAATCTGCTTGTTGTTGACGATCTTTCTCACGTACGGTCTGTAATCGTAAACCCCCATGTTGCCCACTAAGAAAACCTTGCCGTTTTCGATCAAACCCGGGAACGGACAGAAGAGTTGAATGCAATGCGGTATGTCGCCGATCCAGTTGCCGTATTGGCACTCGACGGACTTAGACGCGTTCAAAGGACCGCCGCCGACCAGCTCGTAGCCGTCCTTGCACTTGAAGATCGCCTTCATGCCGTGATCGGTTTTCGGCGCAATAACCATTCCGTTCTTCGGGATCTTCGGCATCTGCTTGCACCGGGCCGGCGTGCAACTCGGCACTATCGACCAAGTGCCGTTGTTGCACAACACCGGGGTGCTGTTCGCGGCGAATTCGTAATTCGGAATACAGCTGACCAGAAGTCCCTCGCCGTGTTCCACCACCGTGACGTTATTGATGTGATTTCCGTTCTTGCTGTGGCTGGCAATGGTGACGTGACCGTTCTCGATCTGCGGGACGACGCACGGGGCTAGACACTGCGGTAAAGGATAACTCCATTTGCCGTCCTGAAGGCAGATAGACGAAGTATTGCCCTCTAGCTTCATGTGGTCCATGCAACGGAAAATGATGCTGGCGCCCAAACCTGTGCCTGTATTTTTGCAACAATTGCACAAAGACACACAATTATATAGTACAGTATTTTATTTTTGCTTATTGAGTACGTTTTATATTATACATGTATATTTCAATTTTAAATAACACACCGTCTTCAATATTTTCGATCCAGCCGTTATACAACACGCCAGGTGAACCGCAATTGATTTCCTGGCAAGTAGGCGGCTTTCCAGTCCACTTTCTGTCAGCGCCGCAACGTCTCGTTGCCGCGCCTACAACGGTGTAACCGTACTTGCATTCATACGATACGATGGAATTGTACGCGTAGGAGGTGTAGACAGCCTTGCCGTTGACTGGATTTTCTGGCTTCGGACACTGCACGGACGTGACCTGCACAAGATAGCAGGCACGTTTGAGAGAGCACATTCTCATATTCTCCGGAGAAATGTAGCGGCATTGACGCTCGGTTCGTGTTTGCTTACTTGAACGCATTGCGGTAACTCCTTCGGAGTCCATGTGCCATCCGCCAGGCACAGTTTCTCGGCTTTGCCGACTAATTCGTACTCCTCCGAGCAATGATACGTCACGCGACAATCATACGTGTAACATTCCCCTTAAAAGCAGAATCAACAATTGAGCTTTTCTTGCAATTAAAACGTAATAAACGCAAAAATCGTAATTATCGAAACTCACCAGAATGCCATCCGTTGGGAATGCCCGGCGGTTGTCCGCAGGACAGGGGCTTGCAAACGATGTCCGGCCCGTACCAATTGGCAATATTTTCTTCAGAAGACCTCATCAGACACTTTGCGTTCTTCGCGCCCGTCGCGTTGTATCCGTGATTGCAGAAATATTGCACCGTACTGTCGAGATCGAAGGTCGTCTGTTCCGACGGAGCGTTATGATACGCTTTCTGAATCTTCGGCGGCTGGGAGCAGAAGGAGTTGGAGTCTTTCTTGCAGGACGGAGTGGTACCGGACCAGTGACCGTCGCCTCGACACTTTCTCTCGGATATGCCGACCATAAAGTAATCAGTGTCGCAGGTGTAATGGGCCCTGTCCCCGAAGAATTTTCCGGTGATCGTCATCACGCCGTGCTCGATTTCATTCAACGCCGGACATTCGCGCTCGGGCTTGATGCACGAATTCCCGCAGGCTCCGTCGCATTTGCATTTCTTCTTCTTGCTCTTGCAGTCGACGTCGGTCGAGCATTTTCGCAAACACTTCTGGCCCATCAGTTTTGCCCTTTCCTCGTCTCTCGGACAATCAGCGGAGGGTGAGTTTCGCGGATTCTTGTAAATACGGCTGTCGTCGTCGATCTCGGGTTTCGGATAGCCATCGTCCTCATCGTCCTCGTCGTCCTCGTCCCAATCCTCGTCGTCGTCATCGTCATCGTCGACGGCCGCTTGCTGTCGTAGCTTCGACTCCGAAGTAAGAAACTGGGCGCACAGCAAAAGCAAGAGAACGATCGCGCTTGGTCTCATTTTGAGTTAGAAGACGATTTTCGGATTGTAAGTGTAGGTTCACTGAAGATAACACTGGCAGTTGGACCACACGACGTTAGGTTACGCGACAGCACCGACTGGGACGTTTACATGACCGCTTGTCTAACCGAACTGACCATCTCACTGGAAGACCTGCGAAGAGTCAGTGTTGTGAGCTTCAGGTGCGCGCAATCGCCCATCGAAGTGCTACCGGTCCAGATATCCCCCTCAGAGCACCGCGGAAATCATCCCGAGCTGCGGCCGAGAACGACGCTGTTTCTTCCGCGAGCGCGACTATTAATCGAGTCCGCCTGTTCGACGTCCGGGAGGATTAGGGACTCCTCTCGTCGGTCCCTCTCTTGCCGGAGTGCTTCTTCGCTCCTACTGGCTCCACCTCGTCTTCTCTCGCTCTAGCCTACGTGCTTTTTTCTTTATTGTACGGACTGCGGTCCCCCGCTGACGGGAATTCGCGGATATTCGCGCATCTCGTCGCGCGCATCCAGCCTGTTCAATACATCTCCTGGTTACCCCAGCTTCCAGCAGATGGCGAGGAGACGTGCTGATAAAAACGGTGATGCTGCGCAGCCACCCCGAGCACTCGGCTCTCTTCGGTGGTGGTTGCTCGGATACGAGGGTAGATGTGTAACATTATGTGTAACCTGCATATATATATATTTATACGTTGCACTTCAATCAAATTTTAATTCTTAGTTATATATTCGCAGTTGCGATTCAAATGTAACTTGTGAGAGAATAAAAATGAGTGTTTTTTTTTGTCGCGCGCTATGTAACTACTACTTTACCGAAACGAAATGTTATTTTTCCTCTCTTTCTCGCTCTCTTTTCATAAATCTTTTATCCGGCTCGTGGTCGTTAAAGCAGCATAGCAGCCAAAGAAATCGCGAATTATCCCTAAAGCGGAAAGCTCCTTACCGTGTAATCAGGGACCACTAAATTTTTTAACGCGCACCTTATGTGCGCTATACAGTTTTGTCGAGAAAAAAAAAATCTTCCTCAAAGAGTATACACACAGGAGAGAGAAAACTTCGAAATTATTATTCACACAGAAGGCGACATTTGAGAGAGGAGTCGGGAACGAGCAAAAACGCGACGCCGCGAAAATGCCACGGCGTCGTAAAAATTACACCGAGAAAAGGTGTTATAAAACGACGCATGGCGAGCGCTTCGGGGGTTCGAAGAAGAACGCGCGAGCACTTGCTGCAAGCCCGTCCCGAGCCGGTCTCGAGGCAACGATATACGCAGTGAATACGAATTGTCTCTCTAAAAGCGCGCTCGCCTTTTAGCCTCGTTTCGTCGACCATCGTTTTTCGCACGACGTGCAACAAGTGCACTTTGTTCGCTCAAACGACGCCTGAGAACGTTCACCCCTGACCTTTCGTAATTTTACGAGGTTACGATAGAACTATACAAACATATATGTATACACATAGGGCCCTTATGAAAAAAATTTACAATTTTTAATTTAACGTACGACGAATTTGCATGACAAAGTAGCAATTTGCCTATGATCGCGAATAGCGAACGAGCGAAAAATGCGCGCGTCTCTCGTACGTGCGTGGGCAGTAGCCGGGGGATCGGTTTTCATCGGACAAACTCAAGCCCATCTCCGGCCCGCGCTTGTTAGTCGTCACGCTACCAGGATAATCCTCGATCTCTAAGTCAAGCGTCATCGTTAGAGTAAGCCTATGTCGGCCATTGTCTTCGTAACGATAACCATCAATCGGTGTGGTTCGATGCCGCACCGTGGGTGATCGTCGCTCCACAATCTCTTCTATCGGCTTCATCGTTCACGCGCCGTGTCTTCGGGATGTCTTCATTTGTCTTATTCAAATGAGAGGAATTTTTTATCGGGCCTCAGAGTATCGTGGCTCGAAATAAGGAAATAAATTCTTCAGTCTCTTATAAGTGCGCTCTTTTGTGTAAACACACACACACACACACACACACACACAACTCTTTAATATATTTGTAAATTCTTTTTAAAAAGTATTTTAAAACTTCTTTAAGAAAAAACTGCACAGCGGATAAAAGTCACAAGAGTCTTCTTTTACGTCTGATTGACACGTTTCTTTTTTATATACTTATGTCACTCCGATATAAAATGTCGACTGAGTTTTTAATAAGACTGGTTCTGAGGAGTCATTCAGTGTCGCGCCTTTTCCGAGGTAGACATCCGAAGACCGGATTGACGAAGTGGCAGTAACTCGGTAGCTGAAAATGGGAGTGGCTGGAAGACAAGAGGACAGCTCGCTCAAAGACATCTTCGTGGCGCCTCTCCGCGGTTGTAAGGAGTGACGGAAAGCAGTGAGTCTCACGCACAGATAGCGTCTTCGTCACGCACGCAAAATCGACAATTTGAAAGAATATATCACTTTCTTTTTACATTCACGTTACATTCTTTTCAATGTAACGTGAAATCTCGTAGGTAACGTTACTCTTCTCGCGAACAAGAAAATTGACACGAAAATCGCAAGTGCAAACGATACCGTGTGATTTTTTTAGAGCGCATTGATTACACACGTGAGAAACCCTGGCGCGTGTTTCTTTGAAGGATGTCCCTTTTCGTCCTCGGTGGGCGGCACACGCCTCGCCAGCTTTAAGAAGAACGAGAACCGACTATCAAAGTGTCGGTTTACGTGTCGCCTACGTTGGCACGCCGCAGCATCTCTTTTTTTCTTTCTCTCTTTCTTTCTCTTTTCTCTAAAAAGCTCAAATACTTTCGCGTGGGTTGCTCTCAACTTGGCGCAATTTTTCATTCTATTAATTTCCTCTTAGAACGCCTGGGAAAATTGAGAATAAGCGAGAAAACATGATTGACGGAGTTTGCTTTACGAGCTCCGCGGGGAGCTCGAAAGCGTCGCGAGAGAGCGAGATAGAGAAAGAGAGATAGTAGGGGAGAACGAAACACGATCGTAAATTCGCGGAGGTTTCGCTTTTTTTCAATTAACTCCATCCCGCCGGATGTGGAAAAGTACGGGAAAAAAAAACGCCCGGACTCCCGGCAAAAGCTACGCGTTTCTGCTCATTCTGCAGCTCGTTACGCGACCATTATCCCCAGTCTCGCGAATCCATTATTCTCTCTTCAGCCTCTCGAAGCTTCTTTTGCGACTCGCGCACCGTCCACATGACGCTGCGGAATAATGGTTTACGGTCGTTCCCCGGACGACGTGAACCGTCCGTCCGTTCGTCCTGGACTCTTCTGATCGCGCGCGCACGCATACTCGTCGTCGGCGGCTCGCGCATAATCCGGTCGCAATCTTTCGCACTCAATCACGAAGCAAATGACGCCAGTTGTTGGCGTTGGTCTAGAAGAGGCGAAATTACGGGAATAAAATTGATTTAAGCAGACGCCTGCGGGGATGTGCTAGAGAGAGAGAGAAAGAGTTTCGCAACCGGACGTTTCGGCTTATGGTCGATGATTGCCCGTTCGAGTGAGTTACTTCTGCATTCATCGTCTGCAAATGCAAATTACAAAAATGCGAACGAACAGCAACTGTTGAAGCAATTATCGGCTGTTTCGCTATTTTGCTTTTGTAGTTTTGTCCTAATTTTACATTTTCTCTCTCTCTCTCTCTCTCTCTCTCTCTCTCTAATATAATTAAACTTTTGAAGTTGATTGAAAACAAATCATCTGTTACGGATTGTAACATTATTCGAATCGATTCGTCACGTATGTGTCATCGTACGCGCGGTGCCGGTCAATGAAACTTTTTTATGATTTTATTCCTGTCCGCGAGATCGACTCGCATTGACCGATAAACGTCCCGGCGCAATTTCCCGTCGCCGATTGGCACTTAAACTTTCTTTAACTGCCGGCATCCACTTCGGTGAACGATCTCGAGCGCTCTCGAGAGGATCGCAGAGGCATTCACCACGTCGTCACTTACTCATTGGGATCTTTATGCGCGTCTTGCACCAGCGTCGCTGACGTTCTCTTTTGTGCGCGATGCCATCGACGACAAGCGCGTTTATTTGACGGATATGCACCTACGCCGCGCGCTCCCTTTCACGACTCTACGGTACGTGCCTTGAGCGGCATTCGACGGACCGGACTCTCGCGAGACAGCACCGACAGTGTCGTTCAATTCAGAAGCAATTGAATTCACAATTCCGACCATTGCGGCCGAACGATGGCCGGGAAAGGATTACGCACGGCACGCTGCCGGAGCTGTGCGTGCCGCATCTGCATCCATGCATAGAGAAAGAGAGAGACCGCAGACATATGCATAAATGCATACGTGCGTCTCTCCGTACGTTGCATCTCGCGCGCACGTATACATATATATATATATACATGTATATATATATATATATATATACATATACATATGTATATATGCGCAACGTAACCAACGTCTGCCGCGCGTGTCTGTTACGCTACGGCTCCTGGGATTTAAAAAGCACGAAGAGAAAAAGAGCGTCGATGCCAACGCGCGCGGCGTTGACCGGTGTTCCAGTCGTGATGGAACGACTCTCGACAGTTCTTGTAATGAACTTATGAATAGATATTCGTGGCTCTTTTAGTGATTTATTAGCGAGTAGCAGAAGTTGAGAAGAGACGAAACACGACACCGCTCGCGCTTAGAGACCGACTCAAGTACCTCGTTAAGTAAATCTGCGCGCATCTCAAAAAATATACACGCGTCCGTGGTATCTTTGTGTATGGAACTTTACGTGAGAGAGAAATTGAAGGAAAATATATTACATGTGTGACTGAGTAATAAATAACGGAATAATTAAAAGTGAAAATTAATCAAATATTTATGCAATTATTTTCTTTTAATTTTGGTAACTTGCGAGTAATAATGTAACTTGCGCGTAATGTATATTCTTAGAACACAGAAATGTAACAAAAGAAATTTTTTACTAAATAATATTTAATGCAAAACACCTTGTAGTTTGTAAAAAAACTTTACCGAAAACAATTTTGTAGTAAAAAAGAATGTTTTGTAATATATACTGCTGTAGAACAACTTTTATAGAAAAAGAATTGTTTGGAATATTAAATTAGAGTAGAATTTTATTAATTTAAATATAATACGTGTTGTGCGTGTACTTGGTGCCTGTTCTTACACATTTTGTATTTTGAAGTATTATTTAATTCTGTATACCAAAACAATTTTGTATACCAAAACAAGTTTTTGCAGTATTAAATCAATTTGTAAGTTAAGTAATACTTTTTTATTTTATAAAGGTAAAGTATTAAGTTTATCAATTTTAATTTATTAATTTCTAAGGTTTTATTTCAAAATGAGTAAGTATATAGCTTGTGTTATTTTGGGCAAAGTTTCAAACCAGTTTCTAGAAAAAAGTCATACCGGAAGTGTTGCCAATGCAAAAAAATCTGTTTTATGAATTACTTTTTTAACATACACATAAAGTATATACTTCCTAGTTATTTCATGTAAAGTTTCAAAATGTATG